GTTCCTACTTCAACAAAACTTCTGCGTTAAAGACAAAGGGACGCCCAAATCCCGGAAAGTGCTCCCTCTTAGTGTAGAATTCCCCAGTCACCATAGCTGAAACCTTACAGCAGCATGCATGTATCACCAAAAAGGTAATCAAGGCCACTTTACACATAATTGCTGCTTGGTCAAAATCTTACATGGTCTCCTTTGTCAAAATGCTGCTTAACTTTGCGTTCTAGTATGTCTGGAAACAAACCCACCTGGAAAAATTATTAATATTTGGTTAAAATAAGCTAAAGTTGGCAGTTAGAGAAGTTTGTAGCACCACCTTCTTCAAAAGGTAGCTCTCTATGCTTGACAACTGAGATGCAACAAAATCGCCCTTCTCATAGAACTTATTCACAGCATCAGATGAAACATGAAACAGCTCATCGTTTCTTTCTTTAGAGTTCTTGACATCTTCTTCTACTAATATTCTGTTGATATACTGCTCGACCTGTTTTCAGGAAAAATGACATGGTAAAGTTCATATCCACACACCCTTCTATGTGCAAACATGGGAATTGCAACCACAGTTCGCCATGCAGTGCAAATTCAGTAAACAGCTATGGTTAATGTACAAATGCAGATCACTCACATTCTTAGCCAAAAGCCACACTCCATACTTGCGAACCTCTACTACGGGCATCTCCATCCTGTGTACATTAAGGAGAGAAATTAAGTAAGTACATATGCACATTGAACTCTGCCTATTAAATTCAGAACCACATTACCCAGTGGCAGCAGTTGGCCATCTTAACAATGCAGTTACTGAACCTATTACCAGTAAATAAGATGAATGTCATTAGCAATTTAACTTACTGTAGACCCTCGGTTATAAAAAGATTGACTGCGCACCTGAATTATTCTTGGATAGAGGGACAACAAGAGGAAGCAACCCTTGCTTGGCTCCAGGAGAAATAATCTGTTCGTCTTCATAGTACAAGATCGAAAATTACTATCCAATGCAAATGAAATCGAAAACCCATCAAAATACACAATCAGCACACTCCACATTAGCAGCTGTTTGCAACATCTAAACCAAATCCTCCACCTTTTTAATTAATCAAACAGAGCCTAGGCCAGAAGATATTGCAGCAGATCAATAATTTGTTTTATCAGGTTGTAGAACGCAGAATATTTAGCTTTTATTTGCAGAAAATGAAAGTGCAGCTGAAACAGTTATAAGCCGGTGACAGTAAAGTACCTCTAAGCTGAAGCACTTTGAGAAGATGATTCAAATGCTCCGGCGGCCGTGTGGCGGCCACATCATTTATAAATAATGAGTGTTCTTCCATTCAAACAACCCAAATATCAACATTAGTGCGTGCATATGTGCTGGTGAATCACACATTTATATATCCAATTCGTAAGTGCTCAAAAAAATGATGCAAGCTAAAATACCAGGAAAAGATAAAGAGCAGCACCGGATAGAGATTCGTCGGCGCTTGAAGAGAGCTGCGGGAAACGCGGCGGCGCGTGGAACTCCCAAAACGACTCCACAACCGGCTTTCATATCCTTTTACCAAGCTCCGTCCGGTTTGTGGGTATTGTTCTGACTTCTGCGGAGACAAGTGGAGCAGAGAAGTTATTATGGGCCGATTGCGTCCGTTAACGAGTTTGGGCCTGGTTTGTTGTGTGCAAAACTGGGGCTTTGCGGATGGGCCAGTTTATTCCTTTCATGATGCAATTGTTAGGGGCTAAAGGCATGTGGGTAAATGACATTTTTTTTTTTGAAAAAAAAAATTCTATCTAGAAAACATTTAGTTCGTTTTAAAAAGAGGAAATTGCACCCCTTACTAAATCTTAGAAATTATATTACACCTTTCCACCTCATTTATACTTATTATTAAATTTAGCTAAAGAAGCAAAAAAATTATCAAATCTACCTAAATCACATAAACCGTTCAAATTTTCTCGGTTCTCTCTCCTCTCAATCAACTATCTCTTCTTCTCCTTCTCTCTCTTACTCTCTCTCTTTTTTTTTTTTTTTTCTTCATTCAAGAAGAAGACGAAGAGGCTGATCCGGATCCAAGCATGGCGGAGGCTACCGCCCGTTCGACGTCGTCGTCGCCTTCCACGTCATCGTCGTCTTCATCTTCCTCTTCTCCTTGCTGCTCGTCTTCAGAAGGGGGATTTGAGTCGACTGTGAAGCACCCATTGATAAGGGAGAAAGTGATGATGGTGGGTTGTTGCTTAAAAATTGGATCTTAAAAACCTATTTCACTAGAGGAAGCAAATTATTATGTTATTACCAACTAATCGAATGGTGATTGAAATTGGGATTAGGCAAAAAGTTTTTGTACTGGAGAGTGAGAATGGTGAGATCTAGCGAAAACCAGAAGAAAAGTGATTGGTTTTGTGCAGAGAATATTATCCTCTCCAGTTCATTTACAAAAACTGAGTTGGGTATATGTTGGGTATATTCGAGTATATCCGAAGTAATTTCTCTGGTTATCTGTTTAATAATTTTTTTTTCTTGAGTTATATGTTGGGTATATCCGAGTATATCCGAAGTAACTTTTCTCTGGTTATCTGGTTATCTTGTGGGTATATCCGAGGTAACTTTTCTCTCTATCCAAGTATCTTTTCTCTTTCTATGCTATACACTTTGTCACTGGCTTTCTGTACATGTTACACATTTTTAGTATATTTGAAGTATATTTTTTGTGTATGTCAGGTAATAATTCTCCCCCAAAATTTCGGTATATTAGAAGACATATTTTTTTCGGTATAAAATTTCATGTCCTCGTTTTTTTCAGTATATTTTTGCGTATATTTCAAGTAAAAGAAAAAAAAGGCATAATTTTTTATTGTTCAGTATATGTTGTGTGTATATAGAGTATATGTTAAATATATGTTCAACATATTAGAATATTTGTTTGTATATGGAATACAAGTAAATGTTATAATATGTTTGTATATACTTTTATGTATAAAAGTAAATATATATATATATATATATATATATATATAATTTTTTTGTGAAAGACTTTCTTTTTATTGCACATATACTGAATATGTACTAACATAAACTCAAAATATACCACCTGGCGGCTGCGTGAATTATAATATTGTAACATACACTGGACATATACTAACATAAACTCAAAATATACTACCTAGCGGCTGCTTGTACAAGTTGCGTGAAAGTAGGGATTGACTCGAATTTGAATGAAGATCACGTTTTTTTTTTCCCTGATTGTGGCGGAAATCAAGGTAACTGAATGAATTCTGAATGGAAGATCACGATTGGATGTAATCTATTAAATAAAAGAGCAGTTTTAGGTATAGATGAAAATACTTTTTCCTTAAGGTAAATTTAAAAATATTTTAATATCTAGTGGGAGGAGTAAAAATTTCCCTTTTAAAAATAGGATAATTGTTTGTGTTATACCTAAAATTGTCTGATCACAAAGTTCCCAAAGGACGAAAGCCCAACATGCTAAACAAGGCCCACGAAGCACTAGCCCTCTTATGAAAGGCCCAAGATCACAGGTTAGGTTTACCGATCACCCTTGTAGTCTTTTTGAGGAAGCTTGTAGATCGCTTACAATCTGAATTGAGAATTGATAAAGCTTATGGCACTGTCTAATCCGTCCCATCAAGTTTTGCATGGATATACGCAGCGTCACCCTATGCCCCTAGTTGGTACCTACAATTTAACGCACCATTACCTTTTTTTAATATAAATATCGACCTCCTCCGTATCACTTTGCTCGCATGTTTTCTTTGGTCTATTTTAGTTTTTCTTGAGTTATGGAAACTCCGTGCAATCAAAGTTTCAATCTTTTTTTAAAAATCTTGCATCCTTCCCCTTTTGCTCTTAATCTCTTAATTTAATTTCGTGAAATTCAATCCTTTCAAGTGTAGAATGTTTAAGACCTTATTTTTGGTTATGTGATTTTGATGACTAGGTAGTAAACGAATCTCCGAACAATCTTTCTTTGAGAACGAGCCGAGTCGAGTAACTCGATTACCATCTATCCATAAAAATACTACAAACAATCCACATACCCTTTTTGCAGCAACGCCAACAATTGACATGGAATCCATATAGAATGACGGACACAGATACATAATTATGTATAATTTGCATAGCTCCAACTCTCACTCAAAAGTCAAATAAAATCGAGAAGGAGAGGACAAAATAAATAAATAAATTATATTAGATAAATAGATGTGCGATCGTCATCACATACATATATACTTATAATATTTTAATATTTTTTAAGTATGCGAGATCATAAGTATAAATAGACTATTACATAGCACCAACTCTCACTCAAATGTGAAATAAAATTGAAATTAAGAGACGAGAGGAAAATAAATAAATTATAATAGGAGGAGAAAATACAAAGAGGCGATGGCATTATTGGTAGCAGTGGTCATAATTTCACATGTGCTGTCCGGTGTAGAATGCCGCGAACTTTTCCCGGCTGATGAATTCGCCGCCGCCGCCGCCGGTGGGCAGTAAAGTGGATCAAATGATAAATGCCTGCAAACAATACCTTATCACACGCAATCCAAGGTATCCCGGGGGCAACTGTTGTCACGCTGCTCGCGTTGTAGCCCATGACGGTGTCGATAAACGTACGATGTGCTACCAATTATGGCAGTTAGATCCTGGCAATGCAAAAGCTATTATCTTTCCAAACACCTTCAATCTGCTCAAGACTTGCCCTTATATTTACCAAGCCAAATATCTCTTCAGCTGCAAAGGTGATCATCAGCACCAATATTAATTTTTGCATTAATTAATTGATTTTGTTTTCAAGAAATTAATTAATTATATTCAATCTCGTAAATTATATACTCATCACACAATATATTAATTAATATTATAATTTGGTGTTGTTACTCAATGCAGCACCAATATGAAGGCCGTGATATATGGAGTTCCATGATCATGAGTTTGGATCCAACATGGAGTCTCTACACATGAGCCAATTACTAAATACTGAAGAATA